GGGGGAGAGAGAATCCCAAGCAGGCTCCACAATGTCAGCAAGGAACCCAATGCGGGGCTCTAAGTCACATACTGTGAGATCATCATGACCTGAGCAGAAATCAAGAGTTGGACCCTTAACCAACTGAGCCACCAAGGTGCCCAGGGAGACTTTTGTTCTTGATCCCTCACTGGGCTGGGCCTGCTTCTTGTCACTCTCTCCCCTTCTCAGTCGTGCTTCAAATGCCTTTGCTCTGGCTGGGCCCTCACTAGAAACGTTCTGGACTCAAACCCCATGCCCAAGATGGCTACAGCACACCAGTCCCTCCTCTCACAGAAATGTGCCAACCACATTTTCTCAGGGTTGCAAATTTGCAATACATCTTGCATTTGCTCTCTCTGTCTCTTCCCAAGTGCTTGATCTGACATTTGGACAAAGGAACAGTTAAACACAAACTGAATGAGTGTTTCTGCATGCTTTCTGTCTCGTCTCTAAACCATTAAGCCCCTGAGCCGGGCACCCCCTGCACATCAAGATCATTCCTGGTTCGCAGATTTTGCTCACACTTTGCCCCTGCCCTGGGTACCCTCTTACAAGGCAGACCTCTTTCAAGGTCTCACCATGACTCCTTCCCTTCCCAGGCTCTCCCCTGCCTGCACCAGCCCCCTGCAATCTCTGTGTCTTGCACCATCTGTCCAATTCACTCATTGTCTTGACCAGACAGCTTGGCCCCTAGTATGTGAACACATAATGCAGTTAACCACAACATGACCTCGTTCACTGAGCACTTTGGGGGTTGACCTTGAGCGAGGAATCAGGAACATGCACCTGAATTTTCTGGAGAGCTGGTTAGGGTCCAGAGTGTCTGATTCAGTAGGTCTGGGGTGGGCCCAATGAATTTGTATTTCTAACAAGTTCCCAGGTGCTACTGCTGCCAGTCTGGGGACTGCACTTTGAGGACCACTGACCTCCAGAGACAGTAGCAAACTGGTGTCCCAAGGGCCATATCTGGTTCACAGAGATTTCATATACAAATCTGAATTTGCATCTTGTCTTTAAAAATCAGTATCTGTCCACACTTGGTCCTCTTTCTCATGTGGCAGTCACCCACGGCTGCCCACTCCACACTTGAAGTCCTACCCTAGCTGCCCTTACCTGTGTCCTGGTTTTAGGTCTCTGGTGCCTGGCAACTGTGGGCTCCGAGGCAGCACTGAGTCCTAGAAAGCTACCATGTGCCAGCCTGGCATGTATGGGCTGCACCAGGAACCCTGTCCTTGGATGATGTGCCTTCCCCCCAGAACCAGACCTCCTTTAGATCTTCAGACTGACCACCATTTCCAAATTTAAGCCTCTTTTTTGCTGCTTCCACCCTGAGAAACAGGCCAGCAAACCGGTGACCACACAGGGACAGCAGGGCCATAATAGCCTCACTGCTGCTCTGCACCCCCGAGGGCCCCACAGCCAATGGAACCCTGTCCCTGCAAGGGCATTAGTCTTGCCCTCGCAAGACAGAACAGGAGGCTGAAGAAGAGCAAGTGAGGAAGGAGCTACCTTCCTGGGTCCCTGGCTGGGAGGGGGAAGGGCTGCACCTCTCCTGGGGACAGCCCCTTGTGCAAGGACAAATGGGAACTGTCCACCACCAGCACCCCCAGCGACCAAATCTGAGCCTGTGGAGGGACTTGAATAGCATCCCCCCCCCCAAATCCTTGTTCACTCAGAACTTCAGATGTGACCTTATTTGGACATGGGGTCTTTACAGATAAAATGAAGGCCTACCCTGAATGCAATGGCTGACGTCCTTATAAGAGGACACAGAGATATGTAGAGGGAAAGGCCATGAGAAGACAGACACAGATTGGGGTGATACAACCACAAACTGTGGAATGCCAGGAGCCACCAGAAGCAGGAAGAGGCAGAAAGGAGTCTTGGAAGAGGCGTCACCCTGCCCACACCTTAATTTTAGACTTCCGGCCTCCAGACCTGGGACAGAATCAATTTCTGTTTTAAGATACTAAACTATAGCAGCCCATCCTTCTCCAGCACCCTCCAGCATCCTTTTATCTACAAGCCTCTGATCTGCACCCCCTCTTGCCTCCCACCCCACAGCCAATCCTTGCCAAGGCCATGACTTCTATTTCCACGGCCATCTCACAAACAAGACTGTCATCACTTCCTGCCCAGAAGGTTGTGACAGCAGCCACAGACTGATCTTCCGAAAGCAGAGCAATTCCCAGTGACAACCCCAAGTCCCCAGATCTTGAACCTTCCAGGGCTCCATGCTGCCTCGTTTTCAAGGCCTCCATCATCTGGGCCCAAACTGGCTTTCCAGCCCAGCCACTCACAGTCCCACCTGCTGATCCTTTGCTCGAGCTGTTTCCTCTACCCGGACCCTGTCTTCACCTTCTCACATCTACCAGTGTGAACACTGCCCACCTCCGAAACGATTTCAAGTGGCACCTCACCCATGCTGCTCCTCTTGCTCCTCACGACCTGGAAACTTCCAGAACATGGGATCTAGGTCCTTCTGCCTGTTCTGAATGCCTCGACCTTTTGCAGTATCCCTCCACAAGGACCAGGCTGGATCCCTTGCAGGATCAAATCCTGGACCTCATGAGGGAATTCCTAGCACCTAACTCCCTGCCAGGCATTAGAGAGAGGGGTGCGAGCCAGCCTGGGTCCTTGTTGCCATGACAGTAACTCTCCAGTGGGCATATGGGAGGCACCAGAAAAATGTGTTGAATTTGAGTCAATTCAATTGAATCTTGGAGTCTGAAGGGATCTTGGTCTGGCCTCCCACCAGCAGGCTTGAGAGGCTTTCTAGACGCTTTCTGTCCTCATTTCAACTTATTTTTCTTTTTACCAACAACACTTCTCTTTCTGCCTTTTAATTTTGTTCTATTATGGAGGGAGGGACAGAGGGAATAGGCTGCCTTCTCCAGCACCTGGCAGCACTTCTCCCACGTGTTTTGGGGCCCAGACACTTTCACAAGCTTCCACCCCGGGCTGGCCACACCCAGGGAGGCCAGAAATCCTCTCTGCCACCACTGCCCCCACCCCCCATACACAGTAGCACTAATAAGCCTAAGAAGGTAACACTGCCACTTGCCCCCAGTGCCTGCCCCATCCCCTTAACCACCCACTGACCATACCCACCCAACCTAGGACTTGTACCCACCATGACGGTCTGAGCTCGGGTCAGCTAGAGACAGGGCAGAGGGCAGCCACGGGAGTCCCGAGGCTGTTCGGCTGGGAAGCATCTCAACTTCCCACCAGCAAGAATGGCCCAGTTGCCATGGTTACAGCAGAGCCCGGCTCTGGGCCAAGGCCTCCCGGGGCAGCCTCCAAGGACCCCCCCAGTACTCACAGTGCAGCCAGGCGAATCCCCGGGGCATGGTGGTACGCTGTGTCCCCCAGAGAGCAGAGGCGGTGTCCCCAGCAGTGTGTGTATCCACAAAGGCCCAGGTGGGGCCTACATGGCCTCGCGTCAGCAAAGGTGGCCCAAAGCTGGGGGAGGGTTGACCACAGAGGAGTGGCCCGGCAGGGGGCGGCAGGTGCTCCTGGGGCAGCGCCTGCCCTTATCTGCCTGGCAGTGTGGAGGGCAGCTGGGGGGCAGTAGCTGCGAGTCCCATGGCAGCCAGGATCTGGCCTGAGACAGTGGCCTCGGGGTCTTTCCCTCTCGAGCAGAAGGAGAGAGTCCCCAGCAGGCCCCTTGGAATCTGGGGCTGGGTTGTGCTTTCTCTGATTTCTCCGTCTGCAGCTGCTCAATGTGAAATCTGGCTCTGGAAAGAGAAAGGAGGAGAGAAACGGATTATGTAAGAGCAGTGCTGCCACTCAGCCATCAGCTGCAGGCACCAAGAGTCTATGTGTGCACTGTACCCACCACCTGGCAGGGACCCCCGGGAATGACTGCAGGCTCACAGCCCAGCCCTGGAGGCTGGCTACTCTGGGAAACAGGCTCACATACAAGAAATGACTTCAGAACATCCCAAGGGCAGCACTGGCCAGGGAGTGAATCACGATGACACCAGCCGGCAGCCACAGGCCTAAACAAAAGCAGGACCAGGGAACGAAAGGCCAAGTGGGTTAAATCAAGGGAGCTTCCTGAAGGAGGTGATATTGCATGTAAGTAAAGTACCTCAGGCTACTCAGGTGGCCATGAGGTTAAAACAGCAGAGTATTAATCCCTCTTTTTACCTTCAGGCTTAGTCCCAATCTCCTATTCGCCAAATCCTTGACCCCCTCTTAATAGGGTTGCTAGATGAAACACCAGGTGCTCAGTTAAACTTGAATTTCATACCAACAACACATATTTTTTTAGTATAATTATGTCATGAATACTTATTAGTATAAGTATGTCCCAAATATTGCATGGCACATATACTTTAAAAAAAATCGTTATTTAATGATTTAATGATTCAATGTTATTTAATTAAACAATGAATTATTTAATTCCAAATTAATCAGAAGCCCTATATATATATTTTTAGTTTATTTATTTATTTTGAGAGAGAAAAAGTGTTTGCATGTGTACCCAAGTGGGGGGCGGTCAGAGAGAGGAGAGAATCCCAAACAGGCTCTGTGCTGTCAGTGCAGAGCCCAACATGGGTCTCGATCCCATGACCCTGAGATCATGATCTGAGATGAAATCAAGAGTCAGATGCTTAACTGACTGAGCCACCTAGGCACCCCACAAGTCCTGTATTTTTATTTGCTAAATTTAGCAACCCTGTGATAATAACAGGATTGCTCTTCCTGAGTGGTCGCTATGAATAGCTAGGCCCAGGGCTTGGGCTTTTGTATTCAATGAATCTTCATGATAATCTTGCCAGGTCATAAAAATCTCATTTTTATTGATGAAGAAATCAAGGTACAAAAAGGTTAAGACTTGTCCAAGGTCACATAGCTTGTAAGCAGTGGGACAAGAATTCAAACACTGGTAGCCACTCCCACCAGTTGACATCCATCCACACATCCACTCGTTAGGACACCCTTACCACCTGGGGCTCTCACATAGTCATCTCTATCACTCACTGGATTCTGTGAGATAAGGCTCTCGTCTCCATTTTGCAGATGAGGAAACAGGTTCTGAGAGACTGAGTTGGCCAGTGACAGAGCCAGCTCTGAAATTCAAAGAAATTCTTTTTTTTCAACGTTTTTTTTTTTGTTTTTTTTTTTATTTTTGGGACAGAGAGAGACAGAGCATGAACGGGGGAGGGGCAGAGAGAGAGGGAGACACAGAATCGGAAACAGGCTCCAGGCTCCGAGCCATCAGCCCAGAGCCTGACGCGGGGCTCGAACTCACGAACCGCGAGATCGTGACCTGGCTGAAGTCGGACGCTTAACCGACTGCGCCACCCAGGCGCCCCTCAAAGAAATTCTTAAATTCTCTGACTCTGTTCTGTTCCATGCCCTTGCCCTCCCTGTTTGCTCTGGAGAAATGGTCACACGTTAATGGCAGGAGGGAGAAGCAGGTATAATGTGGGGGTATTGTCCATGGTGGCATCCATCTCCACAGAACGTACCAGAAGGGCTGGCCCTTACCCTCAGAGGTTCCCAGCAGGCAGGCTGGGCCTCACACAAAGAACACAAGTGTTCCCAGTCGCCATGAACACTAACCTAACTGAAACCTTTTGTTGTTGTTAGTTTTTTTTTTTTTTTTAAGGTT